TAATAGAGAAATTTGGTATGTTGGGAACAGATTACTCTTTAATTCCAATGCATTTCAAATACAGAATAAAATGGATATATTTTTCCTGAGGACCTTCAAGGAGACCTTCTCTTACAGCTTATGAGTGCACTACAGAAGTACATAATCTGTTCAAATTCTATATGAAGATAACTCAATTCTTCTATTACTGTCCTGATGTTTTTAAAGCAGTTTCATATGAAGGTTCCTCAAAGAGAAACCTCTCTTATGATGGAAGAAGGCAGGAATTGTACCTCTGTTCTGAGATGGAGCTTTTACTCAGGTCCTGAAATGTCTAGGAATCTCTTTTTGAAACCAGTGCAGCCTAGTATTCAGTCTACATTAGCTATAGAGTTGCCACCAATCATTCTTTTAATAAGATGTAATCATTTGGAGTTGATAATTTTGGACTGGATGAGAGAGTAACAGATCCAGAGGAAGCTAGGAAATCTAAGAAAGTTTAGTATAGACTCTTAGAAATCTTGCTCAGTGCATGAGCCATAAGCAGAAGTTTTTGCTGTGTTTGTTTTCTTGAGTTTAAATTTCCAGGGTCTCAGGTGTGCTTACAAGGTTCCCATTGAAATCCATGGAAACCACATACATTTGAGCACAGAACGCGTCCACAGAAAAATTAGCAGAGAGAGGCTGAATCACTTGTATCCAGTTATTATTAGACATATTCAAAGTCAAATGTAAATGCTGGAACATGGTCCCACAGTAGTTCCTTGTTTTGATTAAAATTGGCCCCCAATTCTCCATCTCCCTGGACCACAGGCAGGCATTTATCCTGTTGTAAAGTGTGTGCAAGGTGAGTATGGTAGTTCTGAATGGTACAGTTCACAATGGGAGGATTTTTTGCAAAGCTTGCACTGGTCTGAATGTGCTGGGCAATGGACAATTGTGTCCACAGTACTCTAGCTATTACTGTGAGAATTTACATCAGAGATGTAGAATAGTGAATTCGGAGGTTATAGAACAAGTTAATTGTGCGAAAAAATTAATTCCCATAATGTAAAATTGCCCACAGTATTTGGGTTTTTTTGTCCATTTTGGTTTTTTGTCTGATATTTGAGCTATGGCAAATAGAAGTACATATAAGTATAGTAATTATAAGGAATAAATGATAGAATATTTCAACAGTTATTTAAAGCTCCCTAATAAATCAAATTATAGAGGTCCTGGTTCTCTCAAATTAGTAATTTGTCACTCTGCAATTAGGTAATCCTTTCTCTTAATTTAGGTGGAAGGATGTACAGTTAGAGAGATAAAGGTAGAGAATGAATCCCAGAACACTAATTTCTCCTAATTACATATTCTGTTGAATTCTGGAGCTGAAACTAATGATGACAGATTAATAATTAAGTAGATACTTTTTTAAAAGTATGCAAAAATGCGAAACTCATTACCTTTTACAACAACAATTCATTTCTTCCTAAGTGAAATATCGGGACTCTGTATACAGCAGTTGCAGAAACCTATCTTGCCTAGAGAAAACTGTCCATCATCTTTCATTTAATAATTACAGTCTCATGCCTTCATTAACTTTTCAGTATGTAGAAGAAAATTGTGCCCTTTCTAACCATTTTTTATTACAGCTTTTCTGTATATTGAAATAAATAAATTACAGAAAACCAATCAGTTTGAGTCCCTCCGCTGTGTAATGACATCACTGAAAGTGCTCAGTTGAATCCATCTCATGCCATCAGCATGAACCACCAGTATAAGTAGGAGGGCACAGATCCTCAAAGGTATTTCAGTGTCTCCCATTCAAATCAATGCGAACTAGATACCTGAATACCTTGGAGGATCTGGGCCAAGATGTCCAGAAGTTTTATGATATTCAAGAAGTGTTGGATCATGTTAATCTGCAAGAGTCTAAAACATTCTTTCTCCACCCAGTATAGACAGATATTATGTTTCAGCCAAGTCTGTTTACCTAGCTCTTTAAATGGGTAGGTAATTACTGCAGTGGTTCATGTCTACACTACCATCCTTCTGTCGGTGGTGCATGTCCTCACCAGGAGCATTTGCACTGACATCAGAGGGGCAGTGTGGGAGGCTGAGAACCCAGGCTCTCAACTCCGTTTGCAGCTCCCTGCCGGGAGCCCAGTTGACCCCCAGACTCCCCATTCCCTGCTAGCAGCATGGCAGCCACCTGGGCTCTTGCCTCCCCACCAGGAACTCAGCAGCCACCCGGGATCCCTGCAGCTGCCTGGCTCCGAGCGGGGTGCCAGGACCTTGGGGGCAGCCTGGTTCAGAGAGGGGAGCCCTGGGGGCAGCCAGGCTCTCACTGGAGCCCCCCACTCGCCCAGGAATGACAGCCGAGCTGTGAGCAAGAATGACAGTCAACAGCCAATGTAAGTAACCCACAGTGTCTACATGGACACTTTGTCACCCTAACTACACTGACATAAGCCCTACACCTCTCGTGAAGGTGGAGCTATGATGTTGGTGTAGTAGAGTTCAAGGCTGTAGTGTGTACACTGACATAATTAGGTCAACATAAGCTGCCTTATGTCAACCTAACTCAATAATGTAGAGCAGGCCTTAAACTTTTCGGAGAGCTAGAGGCCATTTCTTTTCCTTCTACTTAAGAGAAGAGTGATGGGGGTATCTGAAATTCACCTCAAACAGAAGGCTGACACAAGCCACTTGTATTACTTAAGCCCTATTTTGAAGGCTTAGGTGGGACTTACGTGGCATATAGGCCCCTCTGCATATTTGCTGTAAGAGTAGTAGAAAAAGTGGTAGCCCACTTGTTGTGGGAGTGACTGCCAACATCCCCTAACCTTAGGTTTTGTCATTTGCTCAGGGTGGCCTACAGAGGCAAAGGACAAGACAAAGGAAAGCACATTTGGATGAGTGGTTAGGGGAAAGAGTGGAATTTGGGGTAGCTGGGCAGATGTCAAAAGCTAGCAGTATTGTCACTATCATGAATTGTATGTAACCTTGTTCTTTTATTTTTAATGGATGTTACTTAATTATATGTTGACCAGCTGCTCTGCCAAGTATCTTTTTTTTTTTTGTATACAGTGCTGAAGATTGGAACAATGAAAATAATTTTTAAAATGTGTTGCTACCTCAGTAATTATTACCTCAGCTATTTCCAACATTTGATTGAAAAAATATGTGCTTTAAAAACATTTAAATAGATACTTGTGCAAAAGTAACAGCTCCTCAGTTCAGTTCTGGAGACTTTAACCAAATTCTGTTGTTAGTCTGGTAACTTGCAAGACTGAATGTCTTTTGTATTTCCATGTAATGGAAACAGTGAAGTGGCCATAAGAGACCAGATTTCCAAAGCAGGAACAATGGGTGCACCTGCACAACGTGCATGCACCTGTTGCACCAACAAAATCCCACAGCTCTGCAAGCAAAGCAGATAATAGCACACCTAGCTACTAATCTGCACATATAGTTACCTCATTTGAATGCAAAAATATGACTGTACAAATGACCGGGACCTAAACCTGAGCTAACTCTGTCTTAAGAAATCGTCCTTCAATGTGGATAGTCAAACATTTGTATTTTTAAGAAGATTATAAAAGATAATTTAGAACGTCATACAGCTCTTTAAAACTGTCACCAGTGTAATTTTCTTAGCTTAATAAAATTAACCAAAAGGATTTTAAAAAACAAACTTTCAATTTTCAGTTGCTTCCAACAGTTAGAGTGAGCTTCTTCCCATCATGTAGTATTGCTTAAAATTCATCCCTGACATAAATGAGGTTCCCTGCTTTGAAAGTGTGTTTTAAGGCACCCAGGGAGGAATTCAGCCAGCTGGAGCACAAGTGCGGAGGCACAGAAAGTCTCTTCTTCCCATCCTCCACCCCTACACTCATTCAGGCATGCTCCCTCTATAACGTACAGGATTGTGCTGGGAGGTGCGGATACTTATTGCACCAGCCCACACGACACATTCCTCAGGGGACTTTAGAGGAACCCAGTTCCTCCCCCATCCCACCTGCAGTAAGTCAGCATATATGTTGCTGTCACCAGCAAGTGCTAGCCAGCATACAGGGCATGTATGGTGCTCTTGCTCAAAGGGTACCCCCACAATAAGGTACTCTGGCTCTCCTGCGCTTGCTGGAACACTATGAAAGAAGCTGCACACTCAGTATTTTTGCTCATCCTTGCTGTGGTCAGGATCAATCTCTTATCATAGTCTCATTAATCTAACTGAAAATTTTATTTAAAATTACTGAAATCTTGTAGAAGGATTTGCTGCATTAGTAATCTATCTGTACCACTTTCTGCTAGTATCTCCCTGTGAAACGTTCTGTCAATTATGATAGCTGAATGTTTAAGGGCTGAATGTACTTATGTAACATTTTTCAAACAATATACCAACCCAAAAAAAAGCCACCTTGGGTGTAATAATAAATGATTTAGAAATGCCTTTAAGAGATACCTTATATGTACACTTTGATGTCAGTTGAGACTAACCAACATATATACAATTTGCTATAATTTATGTTTTAAGTCAGCACACAGAACTCAGTTTAGGTATGTAGTGTAGCTGCTATGGTGATTAAGTGCTCTGTAAAATAAGTCAAACAAATACATATCTACCATAATAGAGCTTCATTCCTGGCAGTTTCTCAAATTCAGTTCAGTTTCAACTTGTGGTCTCTGTAGTGTTCCATAATTAAAATAGCAAACAGACCTCCGAGAGCATGGAACACGGAGTGGGTGGAGTTGCGTAATGGCCTGATTGTACCTTGTCAATAAACAAAACTAAACAAAAAAACCCAAGGAAATATATTCTGTGGATATTTGATAATTCTCTGTGAAGGTCAGTGACCTAGCAGAATTTTAAAATGGTATAAATCATATTGCTTAAATAGTATGTAACTTTAAATATTCAGTCCTCAAAGAGTTGAGTTAACAAGAAAACACTTTTTTATAGAAACTACAGTGGAAATGTGCATTGCTGATTTCAAACTTGAGAGACCGAATCATTAAAAACAGCTCCAACTTACCCTCTATTTTCCTTGTGATCCTGTCTTTTGCGTTGAGCATGTATTTTTATAAGTTTCAGCTGCTTTAGACTGTGTATTGTACTGGTCTTACTCTTTTGAATGCAGTTTCAGAAGCTTTCACAGCAGTGGTTGACGTTCTATCCAGTGAGTGTACTTTTTGCTGAATAAGATTCCATTTTTTCTTTTCTCTTTCACCACTTAACATCCTTTCACTGTAAAATTCATCCCTTTTCTGAAGTGTAGGATGATGCACTTGTCTGTAGAAGTTCTTCCAGGCAGGATTCAAATTAAAAACAACCCTTTCATTTTCTGAACTCCGTAAGAGAGCAGAGGGAGCACAGAAAGCAGAAGGAAAATTAAAACACTGTCTTCCCCCCACCCCCTCAAAATCTTCTGAATGCTGAAATGAAGTAGTTTGTCTTGGTGTTCAAAGTTTAACTTTAGGAAGACGGAGAAAGTGGAAAGCAAACTGAATGCTGTAGTAGAAATTTCTCTCTTCCCCCACTGGGCCCCATGCCGACTGTTTTTATTGATTTCAATCACTGGAGGCTAGCTAGCTCTCAGAAGAAACACTGTGTAATGTGTTCTTTCCTGGCTTTCATTAAAGAAACTCAATGCAGTGTGGTCACGCTGCCGAGCTTGCCTGGCAACTTGCCTACTCTCTGTGGTACTTCTTTCATTGGAGGAGACCAAGCTCTTGTTTTCTTCTCCAGCAAGAACTTCAAAACATCTTATTCTCTGTTTCTACCTTTCCTAAGTCTGAAGCTGTTCAATATTTGGGGTAATTTTATTTGCACGCTTAAAGAGATAACTTTGTTGAAGATGATGCAAGTGCTGAATACTATGTTGTTTATTCAAATGTTTCCATAACAATCTCAGGCTCCTTTTATTAAAAACCATTCTGTTAATTTATTTCTTTTGGGGGGCGGCTAGCAGAGAATGGAGTAATTTTACAACTCTGAGTACCAAATAAATGGGTAAAAATGTTTTTCTGACCTTGTTCTGTCTTCTGCATTGCCATTTAATCAGAATGAGCTGGTTTAATTAAGCAAACCATGGTAAGGGAATAAGTAAAATAGTACTGCAGATATGTACAGATTCCTGTCAGTGCCATAGTTACAGGCTAAGCAAAGCTGCATTCGCAAGACTGCTTGTTGTTGTTCCTTAGGCCTGTGTTGTGTTCAGAATAATGACACGGCAGTATGACTGATAGAAGTTGAGAAATAAAATACTAATTCATATTTCAGAACGTGATCAGTTTCAGTACAGATCCCTTTAAAGGAACATACATTCTAGTGGAATTTAATTGACATAATAGTTTCTGCAAATATTTTTCTCCCATGTGCACTTAAACTCTTCTGTTTAATTTAAATTTACTAAATTTTTTTCTTATTCAGCATTTCTTATTGATAACATTTTGTGTACTCTTCAGAAACATGTATGCAGATATATGAAATAGTTAAAGCTTTTAATTGGCTATGTTTTTATGTCAGTGAAATTGCATGCCTGCTGAATTCAATTTTAGTTGCAAATGATACCTGCCTGTTGTGTATGAGAGATACAGAAGATACTGTATATCTCTATGTGTGTACGCATGCACTTTTTCTCCCTTCACGTATACAGTAGCTGAAGGAATCCTTTCCTGGATCAGAAAGATACAAAAGCTTGTTCTTATTTAAATCTGGCTTTATGCAGCACTTATTTGAGGTTTTTCTGCCTGAATTGCATCTATAGAAACCTTTCCAAATCAAGTTAATGTAATTTCATCCCAGTGTTTCTTTTGCCAAGAGTTGTAAGATTGTACGAACAATTTAGCTTTTATGAAAATTATTTTTAAAGAAACAACAGTTTATTTCTTTGTACAATGTGTCACTTTAAAAATATTTTTTCTTTTGTCCAGACAGTGTTTGTACATTTTTTTAAATATTTATTCGATTCTAAGAATATTATGGGCCTAAAAATCGAATAAAAAAATCAATTTTCCTTATAAAGTAAATGTCCATCTGTTGAAAGGCGTATATGGGGGGGGAGGGGATCCTTTGATTTCAAGTCTGCTCTCTGTATCTTCCTGAAACTTAAAATGCTATTTATGCTCATACTTTCTCTGTTGATAATGTGGTGACCTATAGAAAATTGTTTAAAGAAGTTTGTAAGATTGTGAGGTTTTTTACGTAGTCTCTGTAGTTATAGTTACAGTGTAATTGTCTGGCAAAACCTCAATTAATAAATCATCTATCAACCTTTTCATTATTAACCTTGCTTTTGAGAGTTGTATAACTTTGGTCTGGTTCTTTGCATCTGTTAAATTATATTTTTAGCTGCTGGAATGTTTTAGCTGGAAAATGGCCACAGATCTGTCAGTGTTTGGTGTTTTGAGTGTGGGGGAAGACACTGAATGTTTTAGCTACTCTGACTTTAAAATTGGGTGGCAAAAGACTTCATTTTAAAATGAAATGAATCATATTTTTGGTCTTTTGTGTGAACAAGCCCCTTTTGGCATCACTGTTTAAAAATAATGGGAATAACTCTGATTAAAACCGTAGACCAAGGCAGTATAATGCTTCTGCTAGGAGCAAAGTGGGAGTCCTTTCTCATCTTCCTCTTTGGGGAAATCTGTTGTATCCTCAGTATATTTATCGCTGTTGTTCATGTTAAGATTTGTTCATGTGAACTTTTGTTGGTGCTTCCTTTAACTCTGTCATATCTCTTCATCCTTGCCCACGGGCTTCTATTCCCTTGTTGTCTTCTGTGTGCTAGCAGAAAAGGGTGCAACTTTTGTGGAGCTGGATCCACCTGCATCAATGGTGAATTTGGCTTCCTCCCTTTTTCATGCCATTTTGTGGTGCTCTTTCTTGTCTTTAGCATTGTGTGTCTGGTGTGTCTCATTTGTGTTGCTCCTCATCCTCTGTTCCTCCCCATTTCTTTGTAATCACTTCCAGTTCTGTAAGGGTCACTGAACTGAAATCAGTGGGCCACAAGTAGTTCTCCTACATTCCTAATGGCCTAATGTGGCCTCGACACAGTACTCTGCAGCAGTAGAAATCTGTATGTTCTTGGCCATGATGCAGCAGCTAAATGTGCAGCCATTTGGCTCTGTTTGTGCTTGTTTTTGCCAGGGGTTGACAAGGACATCGCATAGAATGGGTTGGCAAGCAGAACAAGTAACAAAGAACACAGACTCAAGACAGTTGTGACCCAGAGCCTGATTTGTAATAACTGGGAAGCCCATATGAATAAAAAATTAGGTTCCCCTGCCACAGTCTTTTCTTCAGAGATCACAAGTTTAATAAACTCCATTTTGTTGCCATCACACAACAGTGACAGTGTAAAGGTGGGAATCCTGAAGCAGGTGAGCAAGGATCATGGGCCTTTAGAATAATGTCCTGAGTATTATCTAAGTGTCAGGTGGCCTGAGATTTAGATCAATGGTCATTCTGGAAAGCAGGTAATGAGAAAAAAATCTAGTTAAAAACAAAACCACTTTCAGTTTGCCATGTAGTCTAGTACAGTCTCTTGTACCTAAAACCATATGTTCAACTAATCTTAAAATGCACCCTCTCCTTTATACTATGGAAATATGAGAAACAAAACTGTAACCTACCGTACATCTTTCTGCCGGTTATTCTTCAAATATATATTTCTTGTTATGGGGAGACATGACAGAATTAATCATAGTTGTAGCCTTATAATAATTGCATTGAGTTTACTGTATTATATTCATCTTACTGGCCAGGTCTTCCAGCCATTAGTTTTTGATGGAAGTGTAACTGGGCTCTGGAGTGATGGGCATATGAACAGACAACCACTTCAACTTCCTTCCGCTTTACAGCTGTAAATCTGCGGTTGTTCCTGTTGACACAGTTTTTTATTCAACCCCTAAATAGCCACTATGAGCTTATAACTCTTCAAGTCTTCCCATTGTTTCCTTTTCATTTCTGAGTGCAGTTTAAGGTGCTGGTGATAATCGTTGAAGCGCTAAACTATCTGCCATCTAGCTGTTGGATAGATTGTATGGTGGGGTTTTAGCTGAGATCTACTAGGAGGCTCTTGTTGTTGGTTCCTGGTTTTATACACTCTCATAAGCAGCAGGGCTTCCTCAGCTGAGGACTTCTGAAACTGATTCTCCCTGACAGACCACTACAGCCCAAGTGTGACTGGCTTGAGCATAGGATGGAAAGTTATACCAAATAGGAAACATTCATGTATGATTTTAATGTTTTTCTCTCTTTGTTATTTTTGGTGAGTGGAAGTGGTTTAATGCCAACCCTTGTAGATGGCCTTATGTGATTTGCTGAGTTCCAAGCTGCTGTTACACTGGGTACCGTGGCACAAACAGTGTACTGTGTGAGTTTCCACACACTGCCCAACCAATGTTCCTCAGTGGTGTCCTGAAACAGGGGCAGGCAAACTTTTTGGCCTGAGGGCCGCATTGGGTTTCAAAAATTGTATGGAGGGCCAGTTAGGGGAGGGGGGCGTGGATGGTCCCCCCATCAACCCCGGCCCCCAGCTTCTCGCCCCCTGACAGCCCCCCCCCAGGACTCCTGCCCCATCCAACCCTCCCACCCCCGTTCTCTGACGGCCCCCCTGGGACCCCTGCCCCATCCAACCACCCCTTCTCTCTGTCCCCTGACCGCCCCCGGAACCCCTGCCCCATCCACCCCCCCCTCCCTTCTTGACTGCCCCCTGGGACTCCTGCTCCCATTCAACCCCCCTGTTCCCCGTGCTCTGACTGCCCTGACCTCATCCACCCCCCCACCCCCTGACCACCCCCAGCCACCACCCCCAAACTCCCCAGCCCTCTATCTAACCCGCCCTGCTCCCTGCCCCCTTACCACGTAGCACAGAGCACCGGGTCAGGCCAGGCTCTGCAGCTGCACTGCTCCAGAAGCTCGCAGCCCCGCCACACCACCTGGAGCATTGCACCAGCGGTGCAGTGAGCTGAGACTGCGGGGGAAGGGGAACAGTGGGGAAGGGCCTGGGGCCGGGCAGGGGGGTCCCACGGGCTGTAGTTTGCCCACCTCTGTCCTAGAAGGACCATCTCTGTGAGGGTGATGGTATTTTACTGTCTCTTTACCCATTCAATCCTTAGCCTGTCTTCTTAGTCAGCCAATAAGGATGCCAATTATAATGTAACTATCTGTCAGCTAGGAACTAAACCGAAACCACTCATTCTCTTATCAAAGCCTATTCAATAGCTGTCTTTGTGTAGGGCCTTTTAGTTGTTACAGACCTGTTTCAAATTATAAGCCATGACTCAGAGATATATTGTTCCATCTTGTATTATCGGTGTGCAGAGCTAGATAGTCCCTTACCATTTTATGGTTTCCTTATATATATGCAATATTTTCATTTTCACCAACAAAGTTTATATTGCTATCATGTTTTGTAGATTGAAGCAGTTTCTGAAAGAGAGTGACTGAATTAGGAGAGAGTACGTATTAGCCAAATTCTCCATGCTGATTTTTATATTGATAGTATTATCCCAGTGCATAATTTTTGAAATCTTTTTTTTACTAAAGTATTGTTATCTGGAAATATTTTATAGTGATATATAGGAATCACTTTGCCCACCATTGAAATGTAGCC